TGAGGATTTTGATTTGTTTTCTCCAGTCGGAAGTCAGGAGGAGGCATCTCCTTGAGCTGACTTTTGGGCTGAGTCTTGCAGCTTCATGCAAAGAGAAATTTACATGGAGCCTTGCATTTTACCCAGATCACAAATAGGCGCTTCTCCCTCACTGAATGGCACCCTGGCAAAGAGGTCTGGGGCGGGGGGCGGTGAGAAAGAACCCAGGTGGGAAAGGGGAAGACTCAGCGGGAGTGAGCGTTTCTGGAGCAGGTCACGCCGCGTTATCCACGCGACACCCTGGCTAACTGGTGATGCCCAGCTCTGTCGCACACGAATAGAGACTGGAGTCACAGAGAGCTTGCCCCAGCTCATATTGCTGAGCAGGGACCCTACGTGACCTCGTCTCAGGGAAGAGCGTGACTCCAGGAGTTGCTAGAGAGAACCAAGATAGGGGTGGGCTCGAAGGCGAAGGCCTTGGATGCCAGGAGCAGGAGCACAAACTGCCAACACAGATTCCAAGAAAACCGCTCACAGGGAAGATCCAAGAGGAGCCAAGGTTGCCAGTGTTCAGCCTCAGCCCCTCGTGGGACCTGGCTTGCAGCTCCCGTAGTCTGATGGATTCCTCTCCACGGTGGGACTGGCTGCCTTCTCCATGGTGCTGGGCACATTTAAATTCTGAGCGAGGGATTTGTGATTCTGTGTGGGCAGACTCCAATTGTGAGCTTGCCAGCTGCTGCTTCCTGCTCTCTCGCGACACAGGATGGGGTTGGGGGACAACGCCCACCTCCTCGCAGACGGGAGGATGATGGGGCGCACACCAGCTGCACAGGGGCTCTGCCTCCCTGTGCTGGGTGATGTGGACGGCAGCCAAGACCCCAGACCAGGCCCTTGGGTGCACAGAGAGGCTGTGCACGTGACCAGGGGAACCAAGGCTGAGCCTGGAGGCATGGTCAAGGGCAAGAGGAGGAGCAGGCAGTGAAAGCCAGGAAAGGGTCCTTTAGGTTTTCATTGAAGTGGAAGTGGATTTCCTGTGTGGTCCAGGGCTGTGAGTTCTTCAGTCAGCTGGTGGAAGAGGCCCTTACAGGATGGCCAAGCCATAGGAGGGTCACTGGGTCACCAATGGACAGCTGGCCCCCCTGACTCTGAACACCTCCCCAGGACTGGTGGGAGTGGGGACTAACTATGGCAGGCATCTGCGGCGTGTCTGGGCCTGTTGGCTGTGGCGATTAGCAACCCTACCCAATGCGCCATCTGCAATGTCAGGATGTCTGTGAAGAGCGCCCCCTCCTGGCGCTCCCGCCAATTCCCCCGTCATCCTGGACCAGCACTCTCCTGGACTTAGTTAGTCCCCTGCCCTCCGTAAGAAAATAACATCAATTAGGTTGCTATTAAATCCCCTTTAGTCTGCGGTCCCATTTTCTAACAGGCGGCCCCTGGATTTGGGAGAGGAACCCAGTCTGGTCTTTGACACAATGACAAGAAGGCAACATGGCCCCTTGGATGCTGCAGGCGGAAACGGGTCACAGCAGGCTGAGTGATGGCGATCAAGGAGCATTGATGAGCCGATCAATAACACCCTGGCGTGGAGGTCTCCGGTGACAGGCCACAGGGCTCTTCTAAAGTTGACAGCTTGGATGAACACCCAGAAAATCAGTTGAGAAAATATATGGAAAACACCAAGCCAGGATGGCCAGCTCAGAGATGGATGAGAGAGCCGCCCTTCCAAGTCATCTCTTCTGGGCAAGAAGTTGGGACAAGGCAGCAAAGGGAAACGGAACCAAGATACATGCACCGAGGGAGTTTGTCTTGGCGACAGGCCCTAGCAACAGGCTGTGCGAACGTGACCCGGCAGTTTTGTTGAACACACATTTTCTGGGAGTCCATACTGGGCAGAGACTACTGCAAGCCCGCAGCCTCTGAGGCCACACCAAGGGCTACATGTGGGGCTCAAGGAGAGCGAGGAAGTACCCCCCATAAACAGTCCTGCCTCGGGTCTCCTGTACCCCCTAGGGGAGCACGGGGGCTTCAGAACAAGGGCAAGGAGACCTGCTCTGCCAAGAGCCAGGTAGGCAACCTTTTAACCTGGGCTTTGTAGTTCAAAAGCGACTGCAGATAACAGTAAGCAAATGAGTATGTCTGTGTTCCAATAAAACTTTATTTAAAAAAGACAGAGGTGGTAAGCCAGCTTTGGCTGGTTTTGGGCTGTCGACTGCCCCTACTTTAGACGAACAGGACAGGCATCGAGAACCGGTGAAGGTTCTCGAGGTTGAGACACACCTGGGTGGGTGAAAGATTGGGTGGAGCTCAGTGTGGAAAGTCATGCAGGCCCGTTCCGCGGTCCCGGAGAGCTGGGGGGCAGGAACATGCAAGCAGGTTTGTTTTCATTCCTGCTGAGGAGGACCCCGGCCTAGACCAAAGCGGGGATTCTGCATCGTCGGAGTCTGGGGGGCGGGGAAGTCGGGCTGGGCGCTCGATGTAGTCCCCCTTTGGAGCAAGATGTCCTCCGCCTCCCGCGACAGCCGTGTCTTCCCACCCTTCCCGTCCTGGCGCGGAGCTGGTACACCCTGCCCACACGGCGAGGCACAAATAGTACATTGGGGATGCAGCCTCAGCTCCTTTGATCATGAGACTCCAGGAGCGGGGAGACAGCTGCAGGGCTGGCTTGATGGGAGAGTGTGGCAAAAGCCCCGTGGGGCGAGGGAGGCCTCTGATGGCAGAGCCGGCCCCCCACGTGGGTGACGGCAAGCAGACTCCTCATGGGGGCCCCGGCTCAGGACCGGGCTCTCAGAGCCTGGCATGTGCTTGGGGTCCTCCTCTATTGCAAATGGTGGGAGGGGGCTGGATGAGCTGATGTCTGGGCCCTTCCAGCCTTGGCCCTTGGACCTGGAGTAGCCACCACCAACTGCAGATGCAGCGCGAGCCTTTCAAGGCACATTTTGCTGGTGGGACCTTAGGGCTTCTTGGGGCTACGTCTGGTTCCCCTCACCTCAACTCTGTAAGGTCATGACAAAGCTTGAAGTGGGTTATGAGTCATGCAGTCTTGCAATGAACCTGTGAAATGGGCACCCAGCCACAGAGCTCTGGTTACAGATCATGGAAATCCCACATGACCGGCCACACCGATGTAGACAAGTGACAGACTCAACACCAAGAGTGGGCATAGGGCCCAGCTGTAAGTTGGCATGGTGGATCCTCAGGTCGAACAACCCCCAACTCCAAACGGCTTCCCCCATGAGGAACTATTCTCTATTACCTTAGCAACAATACTTAGTAACATGAGATCTTGCCTCCCTGGCCACAGTGGATTGGAACAGAGAGGAACACCTGACCACGGGCAGCCAATCAGTAGCCTGGCAAGCAGCCAATGGGATGGCCTGGAGGGGAGGTGCTGCCCAATCATGGTGCCAGTAACGAAAATGTCCAGGCTGGCTCTCTATCTTGGGAATTTGAGCAAGAGATCTGGAAGTACGGGCACAGAAGACAAACACACATGGCACGCAGTGCACAGGGTAGCAACAGCCTCAAGACACAGAAACCAGGAGGGAGTGCGGAACAGGCAGAGCCAGGCTGCAAGGGAGTCGGCCATCTCTATTTCTTTGTTTTTAAAGATTGATTTATTTGAAGGGTAGAGTTACAGAGAGTGGGGGAGAGAGACCTTCTCTCTACTGGTTTACTCACCAGATGGCTGCAACGGCCAGTGCCGGGCCGGGCCAGGCCAAAGCCAGGAGCCAGGAGCTTCAACTAGGTCTCCTACATGGGTGGCCCGAGCACCTGGGCCATCTGCCACTGTTTTTCTCAGGCCAAGAGCAGGGAGCCAGACTGGAAGTGGAGCATCTGGGATTCGAACCTATGCTTATGTGGGTTACTGGCATCGCAGGTGGCAGCTTTACCTACTCCTCCACAACGTGGGCCCTGAGTCGGCCATCAGCAAAGTCATAAGAGCAGATCCTGTGTCCCCAGGGTGACACAGATCTTTCCCAGTCCCCTGCTGGTTCTGGTCTTTGTTCACCTGGCTGTATGGCTCACTGTGGAGGTCGGACCAAGTGACCGGCATGATTGAGTTGCTATCCTTGCTGTCCCCACAACGCTGGGGTCTCTGATTCCCACCAGCCCCTCCCCATTACTTGAGGGTCTTTGAAGGGAGTAGGGAACCCCCAGAATCTTAAAGATGGGGTAGCATCGACCGGGCTCCCTGGGTCAGCCTGTGTCTCCCCAGGCTGGTGGTCGGGGCGGTGCAGTGATGGTGTTCATGTCTGTAGCCTCCCAGAGTTCCCAATGCCACTGCTAAGCTCCGGAGCCTCCAGGACCTGAATGAGAGCATCCAGCAGCCAACATGAGGCGTTGGCCAGGTGCGGGAAGCCCAGCTCGCCCTCTGCCCTTGCCCTTGCTGGTGTGGGGTGCACAGGGAATGGGGATGTAGGGAGGCTCTGGGGAGACTGCAGAGCGTGGACTGCGCCTCCTACACCCCTCCTACGCCCCTCCTATGCCCCTGGTTCTCCTGGCCCAAGAGTGGCTGAGGCTGAGGCCATTGGAATCCAAGTGCACTCCTGAGCCCACCACGTACTGTGTGAGCTGAGCAAGTCACTAGACCTCTGTGGGCCTCCACTTTCTCATCCACAAAGTGGGGCTGGTCCTGTGCCTACCTCACAGGGCTGAGAGGACGAGTTTGCAGGTACGAGGCCCTGGGAACGATGCCCGGGGCATAGCACTTGTCTGTAATTAGAGTATTAGCTATGGCTCCCATGAGGGAGGGTGTGAGGAAGGGAGAAAGCCAAGAGGGATACGGAGAGGGGAGCAGAGGAGACACAACAAAGACTACAGGGGAGAGAACAAGCATGGCAGAGGGGAAGTGTGGGGTCCACTGGGTGCTGCCCTTGACCTCCCAGGGCTGGCTCAGGGCTCCCTCTCTTGTTCTTCCTCCCCCCTATAAAGCTCCCAGGAATTCTGAGGAATTCGCTTCCACCCCCCCAGCTGTTGCCATGGTGATGGAAACCTGGACTCAGTGGAAAGTTCTCTGTGCTCTTGGCAACGAGGCTGCAGCACCCGGCCTCCTGCCTGCCGGAGCGTGGGCGGCCAGCTCCGACTGCTTCCAGGATTTGGGGCCAGCGCCACTTTCTGTGGAGCCCCAGCCCTGCCCCCGCGGGACCTGGGATGGAAGCCAGGGCCTCTGCAGAGCATGCAGCCCACCCCATTTTACAGGTGGGATTGGGCCCGCAGTCCCTCAGTTCACAGCTCCCGAATCCCCTGAGGTCTCTCTCCTGGGCTTGGCTGTGAGTCTTGTGGGTGTGGTGCATCCGGGGGCGTCACCAACAGAAGCAGGCCAGCTGCTGAAAGCCAGGGGGGATGCAGAGAAGCAGAAGTTCCCCAGGGAGACCATTTCGGCCTTCTGCTCCCCGCCCCCAGATGCAGCAGTGGAGGGGGGCTACAGATGGAACTTTTGTGTCCCCCCCCCAGAATTCATAGGTGGACCCCCTCGCCCCTACTGTGCTGGGACTCAGAGACGGGGTCTTCTGGAGGTGATTAAGTGGTGAGTGGAGCCCCCAAGTTGGGATTTGCTCCCTTAGAAGAATGATCTCTCTCTTCACTGGTGTAGACACAGCAAGAAGGCATTGTCTGCAAACCAGAAGAAGAGCCCTTACTAGAACCTGGCCATGCTGACACCTGCTACTGGACTTCTCAACTTGCAGGATGGCGAGAGAGTTTTCTTGTTCATAAACAGCCAGGCTATGATATTTTGTTAAACCAGCTCAAATGGACTGAGACGCCATATTGTCTAACCCTTCGTCCTTTGAGCCAACAACCTTGGTTCAGTAACTGCATATACACTGGGCCAGTTTTGACCACTGAAGCCAATGCTGACTGCCCCAGAGGCAGACATGAGACTCTTCTGGGACTTTCATGGTTGTGTGATGGCCACCTGGGACAGTTCCCTCATTTGGACACCGATGCTAGCTCTGGGCCTACATTCCCCACCTGTCAGAACATTGCAGGTGAAGGTTTCCAGGTAGAGACCAAAGAAACTTCCCCCATGGCCCACGGGCCCACCAGGGGATGGGACAGGGGCTGTCTCAGGAGCTCTGACCTTAACCTCCTGCAAGACTCCACTGTCCAGACATTTTGGGAGTATGAAAGATCATTATGGTTCTTGCCAAGAATGCAGCTCTTGGAAAGAAGGGGCCTCCCATCCAGTTTCCCAAGATAAAACTTGGTCTGTAGGGGACTCACTGGGAGCCAAGGGCCTTCCCTGCTATTACCCTGAAAATAGAGCCTTGGCCCAAGGGTCCTAATTTTCCATGGAGTCTTGGGGTTTAGATGTTCCCCTCGAGATAGATCTAGCCCCATGCCTTCATTACTCAATGTCTAGAGAGAGGGAAATGATGGCACAAGCAAGGGATAGGGACAAGGTCCAGAGTCAAAGGGTAGGGAAGGGTGTCAAGTCCCATCCCTGTTACTCCCAAGCTATGCAATGACAGACAAATCACACCACTTCCCTGAGCCTCAGTCTTCCCATCTGTAAAATGGAGCTTGGGTGATCAACTACTGTAAATTCCTCCAACAGTTTTTTACGTCTTAGGAGAAGGACCATGCCAAACTCTTGTTTCTCTCCCATGTTCCTAGCACAGAACCTGGAAGAGTAGTCCTGTCCTCATCATAGGGTAGAAGCAAACCGTCAGGTGATCCAGCATGTACTCATTTCGCTCATGAATTCATGCACTTGTTCAACCAAGATGCACTGTCATCATCTCTATGCAGAGGACCCAGCAGTGAGGGGGACAGAGTGGTGGGATAGGACAGGTGATCACCACGCACCAGAATGTGGGAAGCACAGGGCGCAGAGCCCCGTGGGCACCTCAGTTTCATAGAACCCAAGAAATCTTCCTTGAGAAGGTGCTGATTCAGTCAAGACCTCAGAGATATGAAGATCGAACGGAAACAAAAGAAGTAGGATTAGAGTTCCAGGAAGTAGAAGGAGAGAAGAACCACCTGGAGGGGCTCATGTGATCCCCTCCTCCATATCTGTTTCACCAAGAAACCACCTTACCCCAGCAGAGACCCGCAGGGCGGTTCAGGACCACGGAGAGCACCACAGTGACATGGTGGCCACCTGCTCTTGCTAACCCCAAGAGTGCAGCCCAGGCGAAGGCTGAGACATGGAAGGGTGGGGTGGGGTGGAGAAACCGCTGCACTAGGAGCCTAGGCAGGGCAGTCTGTGGGGGTTGGCTGAGGTTCCCGATGCTGACCCCCACCTCTGCACCTGGGAGAAGGCTGCAGTCACAGGCCCAAGGGGAGCCAGGTGAGCAACACGAGGAACCCTGCAGACTGAAGGAAAGCAGTGGGTTGGTTGATACAAGCGGCTCCCTCCTGCTTGAGATCAGAAAGCCCTTCGATAACCTGGGGAATAATACATAATAAATGCAGAAACACTACAGATGTAAGTCCCTTATATAGCACATCAGAAGGCAATAGATGCTGTGGGAAAAAGAAAAACCTCCTCCTCTCCCTAAAAAACAAGTGACCCCAAAGTTCTGGTATAATTCCAGAGGTTCTTGGAATGCTTGTGCACATGGGTATAGTGAGGAATGTCCCCTCCAAGGTATAACCACTCTGCCTGAGAGTGGGGAGGGTAGGAGAGGAGGAGGCAGAAACTGGATTGAGTTTGCCTGGATCCCTTACACTGAGTAGGAAGCCAGCCCCTGGGGGACTCCATTTCCTGGCCAGCTGCTGGGGTATCCCCAGGCCCTTGGCTCCTGGCTTGCAGCTCCGTGCCTCCCTCATCACCTGCATTGAGCGTCTGTATTGTGTCAGTCCCTGTCGTAGATGTTTAGGGTTCATCAGTGAGCAGAAAAAATAGCCAGAGAATGGCCCCAGAGAATGTATAGTCAATAAAGTGGAGACAACATAATCTAAAATTCTATAGTAGATTAAAAGTGGTCAGAGTGTGGGGTAAAAGGAAGAAGGCTAGCAGGATAAGAGGGGCTGGGCACACGCAAGGTAGGCTTGGTGGTGGCAGCACTGGGGCTGTGGAGACTGGAGCCACATAGTCTGAATTCAGACCCAAGTCCCAGAACTTCCTAGCTGTGTGACCTTGGGCAAGTGACTGACCCCCTTGCTGTTCTGTTCCTCAGCTCCAGATGAGGGGAGAGTAACAGGACCCACTTTGGAGACTTATTGTGAAGGGGATGTGTGCTGACCCCTGGAGAGTCTGGACCCCCAAGACACATCACCATCATCATCACAGTCAGGCTGACCCACGCTGGGCTCAGCAAGCTCCGACAGGCCGGCCCAGGGTCACAAAGCCTACTCCAGTCCATGAGCTCAGATGGTCATAGGGCAGGTCTGACCCCACAGCTGGTCCAGGGCGAGCTCAGCCAGAGGTCCAGGGGCTGGTTGAGGGGAGAGGCAGCTGCCCAGGGACCCAGTGGAGCTGTGGTGGGAACTTAGGGAGGGAGCAGGGAGCAGAGGAGGCAGGCGGGGTTCTGTGGGGTCACAGAGAGGCAGGTAGGTTCCAGCAGGAAGAGGGTGGGGATGCTGACCAGCCCTATGGAAGGGCAGGGGCAGCCCTGCCATGGACAGCTGGCTACCCAGATGGTCTCACACGCCTCTCCCACCTCGGCTTTCGGTCTTGGGCTGTAAGAGAAGAGCTATTTGCTGAGTCACCCAGCAGAAAAGCCATTTTGCTGAGTCACCCAGAAGAGCAATTTTGCTGAGTCACCCAACAGCTGGGATGGTTCCCAAGCTTCCTCAAGCTCCCCGAGCCCCTGCTTAGTTCCACTTTAGTGCCCAGCAGCTCCCTGGAGCCTCAGCTCCATTCGTGCCCGGCCACCAGTGCCCTGTGCATCCTGGGGCTGGTGGCTTCGCCTCTTTCAGCCTCAGGTACCTCACCTGCCCAGTGGGAACTGCCAGGTCGCAGGAAGCCAGGGCCATCAGTGACTTGCTTGCTGTGTTATCTCTGGGCCTACAGTGGAGTCAGGACCTGGTGCTCAGAAGGCACCTGGCCAGACCACATCCCCTCTCCCCTGCTCCTTACCCGAGGGACCTTCCAGATTACCAGTGGTCAGTCCCCTTCACACCCTCACTCCACTTCCCCTCTGCAGCCAGATGGGTCTTTCTTCTGGGGCTCCTATTGTCCCTGGGACAAAGTCCAGATGTCTCCACGTGGCCTGCATGGCCCTTGGAGGGACTCCCACTCGTCTCCCCAGGCTCCTCCCTCCCCACACTCCCGTGCTCCAGTTGCACACTCTCCTTCGTGTTTCAGGAACCTCCCTGATCCTTCCCTGCCTCTGTGCCTTTGCCCATTCCCTCTGAACTGGAGTGCCTTCCTTGTCTGCGTGATGCGCACCTTCTCCTCAAATCCCTCAACAGCACCCAGGGAAACAGTGCTGGAGCGCCCCTGCTGGCTTGCACTAGCTCTGGTGAGTGCATGTATTATATTGCATCTCTAAAGCATTTTGAGTCTCTCTTCCCTATGAGATATTTCTAGAATATACTCATGGTTTATTCAGATTGAAAATTTTAGACATGAATATAGATGTGCCTATTTAGGGATAAGCAGTATGCAACTCAAGTAGAGGCTGATGTATATGTAGTCAGTGAGCACACTGATGGATGGAGAGGAAAAGGGGACAAATGGGAGGATGGGAGATTGGATGACAGAATGATGGGCACATGGAAGGAAGGAGAGAGGGAAGACTGATGTATGGTTAGACAACGTAGTGCACAATGGAGATGGAAGGAAAGAAGGGCATGTGAATGGAAGAACAGAAAGATGGATGGGTCCTGAATGGAAGGGGGTGGATAGAGGATGGATGGATGGATGGATGGATGGATAGATGGATGGGTGGATGGATGGATGGGTGAGTGGATGGGTGGATGGATGGATGGGTGAGTGGATGGGGGGATGGATGGATGGGTGGATGGATAGAGGATGGGTGGGTGGATGGATGGGTGAGTGGATGGGTGGATGGATGGATGGGTGAGTGGATGGGGGGATGGATGGGTGCATGGATGGATGGATGGATGGATGGATAGAGGATGGATGGGTGGATGGATGATGGATGATGAGTGGGTGGGTGGGTGGATGGATGGATAGGTGGGTGGGTGGATAAAGGAAAGACTGAAGTGTGGATGGGTGGAACAAAGGATAGAAAAATGGAAGAAAGGAAGGAAGGGAGAAGGGGCGACCAGACGTAAAGAGTTGGATTGGATGGCAGAATGGTAGGACTAAAGGAAACAAGAAGGGATGAAGTGACGGATGGATGTGAGGGCAGACAGGAGGAAAAACAGGAGGATGGGTGAACGGGTGGCTGGATTCCCGGAGAGACGTGCTTGGGTTTTCACTCCCCCTGAGCTGGTCAGCGCTCTCACAGGGAGTCTGGGGCTCCCAGGGGGCACCTGCTGCTGCTGGTCCCAGCTGCTTGACCTTGTCTATATTGCTTGTTTTGACCTTAGACAGTAAACCAGTCATCTGTCTGTGGTTACGAAGAAGCCCTCAAATACTGGTGCTCAGGGAGTTTCAGAGGAAGTGGGGCTCAGAGGTTTCTAAGGAAGCTGCCTAGGTCATCGCCAGACCCCAACTTGACCTTGGCTACTTAAACCCCACCCAGAGCTCAGCATGCTGCCCTTGGGTTTGTCCAAATCTCTGTGGAGCCTCGTTCTGCCCAGTGTGTGTCTGTCCATTAACTTGGTGATTTTTTTTTCTTCATGGAACAGATGAGAAGGGGAAATGACCTCAACCCAAGGTGGAAGCCAAGGAGGGGCCAGGCAGGGCCAGCCGCCTCCCCACGCCGATGTGGCCCTGGGCACATTCCTGAGCAGGTGGAAGCAAATTTGGCTCAGAACCAGCATCCAGGCACCCTGCCAGGCCCAAGACACAGAAAATGCACGAGGTCTGAGCTCTCGGAGAACCTCGGGGGAGGTGAGTAGGGAGGTCAGGGCGCCCCCCGGGGAGCAGGGGGTCCTTTTGCTCCCATCCGCACTCTGTGGCCAAGGAGCAGAGGCTGACCCTCCCCAGGTAGCGTTCCCCGCTCTCTTTCTTAGCTCTTCACCCGTGGGCTTCATTCACGGAGCTTTGCAAAGGTGCTGGCACACCTGTGGCACCCACCCAGCGCCCACCGTCCCTCTCTCCCGGTGTGGGCGGCTGTGACCCAGGAGCGCCGTGCCTAGGACGCCGGCTGTCTCTTTCCACGATCTCCTTCTGCACACGGCCCTGCGCTGGGACACGGGCGGTGCTTGTCCTGAGCTTCCCCCTCCACCGTCCCATGGAGCCTTCTAGCAGCCTTTGCATGGAGGGGCCTGGAATTTCCGTTGTACATGCACAGGCCCAGGTCCAGGGCAAAGAGGCCAGGTCTAGTTGCGGAGAGGCACAGGCTCTGGGAGGTACCATCCAAGGAGGTCAAGGTGAAGCGGGTGAGTTCTACCGCGTGCTCCCCCTACCGCGGGCCCGGGACCGAGTGCGCATGCTTGAAATCGCAACGCTCTACGCCTTTTCTCCCTTGAAAACAATCCAGGGCTTTCTTTTCATGCCTCATGACCATAGTGACAATTTAAAAAAACTGCTTTGGAAAGCTGGGGGAGAGCCCGAGTTTCCAAGGGAGGCCGGCCTGGCTGGCTGGGTGGGTAGGGTGCTAGTTTGTCGCTTTCTTCGGTGTGGACGCGACGGCCGGTCCCTGCCAGCCGGCTCAGCACCCTGCCCTTTGAGGGCCTTGCGGCTCCTGCGGTTCTTAGCAGCTGCATTCTGCAGAGTTAAGAATCTGCGGTTTTCATGTTCACTCCGGATGCTGCCCTGCTCTGTTCCCATCCAGTGGCTCTCCGGGCAGGTGGGAGGGGGGGATTCAGGGCAGAGCGCAGGCCCTGTGTGTTGGTCATTCATGGACACACAAGGAAGCCTGCATCGGCTCAAGTAGAGACGTGGCCTGAAATCCTTCCCAAGAGCTCGAGGGTCAAGTCAAACTCATTGTTTCATTTACAAATTATTTATTTGAAAGATGGAGAGAGAGAGAGAGAGAGAGAATCTCCCATCCATCCATTTTTTCCCTAAATGCCCGCAACAGCCAGGGCTGGGCCAGGCCAGAGCTAGGAGCCAGGAACTCGGTCTGGGTCTCTCACGTGGGTGGCAGGGA